CCCCCCCCCCCCCCCCCTCTCTGCATCGCCAAAAATGGATCCTTTTTTGACCTGGGGGGTTTCAGGGGGTCACCCTCGGAACGAAATGTGGAGGGGGTTCAATTTTGGTGTGATCCGAAGGAAGCGCCGTAACGGGGGGCCAAGTACAGTGCGATTCGGTGCAGTCCATGGAGGGTGTGTGTGATTGTGTGGTTTCAAGGCTTCTCCCCCATGGGCTCAAGAAGACTGGCTGAGAAGAGAACAAGGACGGGCGTGATGATGTGAGACGGAGAAGTCTCTCGTCGGTGAGCCTGATGCCAGGACACACCAGCACAGCCTTTCCAGCAACGATTTGACGCAGGTGACTGTACAAGATTGACTGGAAATAGTAAGCGACAGCAAACATTTCTCACCAAAGACAGCCTTATTCGTCTCCCAGAAATCCCAGGGCTGCGGTTTCGCGGCGAGCCCTCGTGGCCGATTCGATCTTTCCTGCGTCCGATGACGAGGGCCCGCGTGACGGGCCTGGCGATCGTGGTGTGGCAAGACGCGTCAACAAGCCTGCGGTGTGCAAGCTTCAGTGAAGCCCAGCGGGGGTCGTTTGGAATTGTTCGATCACCAAGTCCCGAAATGTACAATCCTGAACAGGTAGAGAGTGGGACGTGCTTCTGCGTCGCTTGCGGACGGAAGCCATTCGGGGTCTTCGTCACAGGACCCCTAGCGAGGCAAGGAAGGATCACCAACTGGGCGACTCCACGCGGCCTGACGGTGTGGCTTGTGGCTGATGAAGATCTTTGGCGCCGTCCCTTTCATCGAGAGTGAAGGATGGCCGAGGCTGGTGATCTTGGGATGCTTGTTGGTGAGGACGTGTGTGGCTTTGAGAATTGGGTTGGATTACGGATGGAGGAGTGCCGTCCCGCTCAATCCGGGGAGCAGGCTCCTAGTTGCTCGTTGTATGACATGAATCGATTCCAAAAGAGGTTAACGGATCACGGGAATCAGATATCTGCTTTCCGGACACCGTTGATTTAATCAGCGGTAGCTTCAATAGCTGGGACTCTCGCCAGCGGCCCTGGCAGTTACGATTGGGAGTGAGCTTCAATTCGTTCCGAGCGTGAATTGTTAGAAAATACAGAGCATCGAGATGGACGCGTGATATTGCGGTTAGATACGGGTTTTGAAACTACCTGTAGTTGTTCGAAGTTGTTATCGTTGCTCCGGCTTGCTGTACAGCTCCTGACCTCGTCTCCGGGGGGTCAAGGTTCTCCTTGATGCAGTTTTTCTTTGGGGTTAAGGTATACTTATCCATCTTCATCTATCAGATGGCCGGCTCAGTGCAACATGAGGTTAGGGCATAGACAACTACTTAGAATGTTGGCTCGCATGTCAGGTATCACATGATGCTATCGACCAAAAGTCCAAATCCATAGCATCATAAGGTACCTTGGTACTCAAGTCATCAACACCTCTAAGGCGGCAGACGGGGGAGCGGGCGAGGTACGGGGAAGCGGACGGGGGACGGGGAAGCGGACGGGGGACGGGAGAGCAGACGGGAGAGACATCAGCCATGCCAGTCTCATGGCCAACTTTGCTTCAACGCTGAATGAAGCTTCCGGTTATTTCTCTCGTGCAATAGCTGCAAACTTCATCGAATGGCTACTTTTCTTGGTGCATAAACTTGCCAGGAAAAGAGACAGAACTATGGCCTGGGCACGCCTCTGTTTTCTGAGCAGGTGCCCGGCGTTGACAGATCGGAAGGGGTTTATAGTACAGTCGTCCAAAGTCCTCCACCTCAAGAATGCCTCAGAAGAACAAGCTGCATGTTCCGCAAGGTTGTCGTTTCACTCGAGTTCATGACTGATGCACAGAATCTGACTATTAAACCTGGTGCAGTAACCCGTGGCTCGAAGGAACTGACAACCCTGCAAAGCTCAGCGCCTCCACCATGGTCGAGAAACTTCCATGGTCACCACGAACAATCGATCGCTTGATGATACGAAAAGCAATTGCCAGTTCCGTCGCATCTCTCTTCGGAAATACCGACGACCTCCTTCAAGCTTCACCTTCGCGTGAGTGTGGCATCGGTGCGTTCTCAATGACTGTCAGGTTAGCAAGGCGTTCAGCCAGGTACCTACGCTACGCTACCCACCTGCCTACAGGTACCTAAGGCACCTAAAGGCCGGCAAGCACGGACACACCCCGCACTCTACCAATCTTGGTAGTACCTTGTGGCTAGAGAGGTGAGCCCCACGTGAGCTTCCCCCTCCGAAGCTGAGAATCACGACTCAGCTTCCTCGGTTTTGAGCAGTGCACATAACCTGGAGCCTGGCCGCAGATGTCAGGCCCTCGAAGGCCCAAGTCCCAACCTCACAATCAAGGCGAGCGGCGGCCTCTTGGGGGGGCGAAATTCCTAGCACTCATTCCCGCCATCTCATTCATCCACCCATATGCCTTGCCATACCCATGCTTGTTTCCAGCTGAACGCCTCTTCGGCTCTCATGATTCGCCAAGTTGCACGAAACGCCCCATCAGAGACACGATCCCGCGTGCTGAGGGCCAATAGGTTGGCCGAAGCCTCCTCGTTGGACAAGCTGGAGCAGCACCCTTCCCCTCCATCAGATCACTATTGCACAGGGCCACTGGCCTCCGCACCCATCACGCATATCACGTCCTCCTCGTGATCCCACAAACACACTCTGCCTCTCGCCGCCCGCACTCAGTCATCCAGGCGGGAGGAGACGAGAGAAGAAAACAGACAGACAGGCAGAGACAGGACACACCGTCAGACAATCGAGGGGAGAGATACGAAGGACAACACAAATCGTAGGTAGTCCCCAGGCCCCCCTTTGACTCCTGACTCCCAACTCCCAACTCCCAACTCCTAGTGGGCGACTGATGCCCGATTGCTTGCACCTTTGGCTGCTTGCCTTGTCTCTCTTGCATGCTGCATGCTGCCATAGCATCTACTGACGATACAAATCCCAGGGCGTACGATATCGGCCTGTCACCCCGCCCTGTATTGCGTCCCAGTCATGCAGCTTGTCCTTGACGCCCAATCACCGAACCACATGCATTGCCGCCCGCCAGTCACGACTCTCCAGCTGTTCGATACTCCTCAGAGTGCCGCATCTCTTGGACGACCAAGATTCGTTCGCCATTTCTGCGCTCGAGGCATCTCGCATGCTAATGGCCTACTATCATTATGGCGAGGAGTCGGACAGAAGGCCTGGTCGAAGCCGACAGGCGCACCCGAGACCCCATGTCGATTGGCTCGAAACCGGCGAGACGGTGCATGATTCGCTGCCTCGCCGAACGAGGAGAGGCCATATCATACAATATGCAGACGAACCGCCTTCGTCCATGCGACGGAGTCAAACCACCTGGAGCGAGAGGAGCTCGCCTGCGCAAGTCGCGACGATGCCGCTTCGCACGAGAGCCGCCACCGTTACCACAATGACCATGCCTGTTGGCAGAGGCGTAGACCATCACCGCCATCAACCTCACCATCACCGTGCTTCGAGACATTACGAAGATGAGGACGAGGAGGATGAAGACGATGATGAGGACGAGGACGAGGACGAGGACGAGGACGAGGACGAGGACGAGGACAGGGACGAGTCGCCTGCGGGCAGTCGGCGCAACCTCAGACGCGGCATGAGCCCACGCTCCGTTCGTCACTACAGGTCAACCCCAGAGTCGAGGAAAGACTCTCGGCCTTCCCAACCCGACTCTGATGGGGAGTCTGATACTACCGTGTCAACGGAAGACAAAAGGCACCAGGATTTAGAGAAACATGGCCAGCTTCAAAGACGCGCCCGGCACCCTGAGCCAGACGACCATCTCGACCGCCGTGAAGAGGACCGGCGTTGGAGACGCCGGCGACGACGCGGTACTGTTGTCTACGATACCCAAGACGAAGACCCGACCCCCCACCAATCTGCAATAGACCACAGGTCTCCCATCCGAGATCTGTCCAGGCACTCGTCCCGGCGTTCGTCAGAATTGGTTGAGTCTGGTAGCTCCATCCGACGAGGTTACCACATTCGTAGCCAGAGTCTCCTTGAGGCCCCTACCCCGCCTCGTTCTTCTGTCAGGTTTGTTATGCGTTGATCCCCGATGCTCTGGGCCACGCTAATCAACCAGCAGCCGGCCACGTAGGAGACGCCATTCTCAGGTCATCTACACAGAGATTGTACCACCCACATTGCGCCGGGCGCACACAGCGTCTGAAACGCATGTCACGTCGCACAGCACTACGTCCTCTAACCGGCGGCATTCTGTTCTCGGCGCCTTCCTCGGGCCTGGCATGCAGGGGCATGGGTCGAACAGACGAGTCAAACAGTAAGCATCGGCACGGTCCGGAGCAGGCTACGGTAGCAGGACTGACCATGTGCAGGCTGCAGTGTCTCGCTTGTATGGACGAGCTCCCAGCCGACAAGGTTGCGAAGCTCAAGTGTGGCCATCGTATGTGCAGCTCGTGCCTGAAAAGGAAATTCAAGATGTCCATCACGGATCCCGTGGAGATGCCCCCGAAATGCTGTGCTGAGCACATTCCTCTCAAGCATGTCGAGAGGCTGTTTCCGACCGATTTCAAGAAGACGTGGAATAAGAAGTTCGCCGAGTTCTCGACACGAAATCGCGTCTACTGCCCGGCGAAACGATGCGGAGAGTGGATCAAGCCAGCGAATATTCACCGCGAGGACGGCCGCAAGTGTGGCAGATGCAGCCGGTGCAGGCTCAAGGTGTGCTGCGCCTGCCATGGCAAATGGCATGGGTCTCGGGAATGCCCAAAGGACGAGGAGACCACAATATTCCTACAGCAAGCCAAGGAAGCAGGGTGGCAGCGATGCCACAGGTGCAAGGCCATGGTCGAGTTGAAGGAGGGATGCAATCACATGACCTGGTGAGTTCCTCGACGGCATTCGATGCAAGTGTAGTACTGACTGAAAGCACAGTCGCTGCGGAGCCGAATTTTGCATGATCTGCGGACTGAAGTGGAAGTCGTGTGACTGTCCCTGGTTCAACCACGACACGCCGGAGGACGATAGTCTCGAGGATATGCATATTCCCATGTCACTGGGCAGGGACAGGCTGGGGCGGGCAGACGGCAGCCCTCCTGGTCGTGGGACAATCCACCCTGTGCCCGACCTGACGGCGCCCATGTCGATGAGACCGCGAGTTCCAGATGCTTACGAGGATCCGCCGCACGATCCTCTCATGAGAAGGCTCCAAGAGAGGCAGGAGAGCAATCTCGCGCGTCGCTTGCACGTTCGTGACGACGATGGCGGTGACATGTCTGCGCATCACAGGGGTGATGATCATCGGAGAAGGCCGCATCTGGTCCCCGTCCCAGTCCCGACGCCGCCAGCGGCACCTCCCGTGGGATTCGAAAGACCGGGTGTCGCTGGAGAGTATGTATCGGGCGTCAACAGGGCCCGAGGAGTTCGACAGGACTCGGTGGAACGACGTCTCGCAGATCGTCTATCAGAGTTTCGGACGAGTCCTGGGTCGAGGCCCGGCATGATGATGCCGCCGCCACCACCGATGCCGGCCAGCGCCGGGCTGCCAATGTCTATGCTCGCCACGCCTGCGGCTCCGACCGCACGCATGTCGGCCATGGAGGAGGACATGATGTACAACAGTCGCAGTAGGGGAGTCTGGCCCCCAGGATCAGACATTGGCATGATGATGTCGGGCGGCATAGGAGGAGGCTACGCGCCACCGCCGCCAGCGCCCACGCTGCCGCCGCAAGTGCCAGAGGTACATGGGTCGCGGGGGCGAAAGCGTGGGGGGGAGCCCAAGTCGTCGATGATGGCTGGGCTGACCGGTGCGGGACGAGGCATGAACCGCGTGGACGAGTGGCGGAGCCATGTCGAGCCGGGCGTGCCGGGAGACGACAGATCGCTACCCTGATGGAGAGATCACGGAGGCACGGATTTTTACGACAGCACGTTTTCCTAACGGACTTTGGACGACAGACTTTGACGACAGCGCTTGACGACAGATCTTAACGACAGGCATAACTGATGAACAGCATGATTCGCAACAGCGCAGGGGATGGTCATGTTTTTATTTTTGTTTTCTCTGTCATTTTCTCTACTCTTGTCTGATTTTCTTGCTTTTCTGTTTCGGGCTTCTCGTTGGTGAGGGTACTGCCATGTTCCTCCCAGGCGGTGTTTTCTGTGTAACTATACGCGAGCCACATGGCAACCGAGGCGGAGCGATGGTATTGTTGACTTATGCACTGGGCAATCTGGAGTCGGTCTAGCGCGCAGGAATGAAGCGCTCTATGTTCTTTGAAATCCGTTCAACTCGACGTCCCATGTGTGAGGCTGGCTCATGCAGGTCCCCCATCTGTCCATCTGTGGGGGGAGGAAGGGGTCCTTCGTTGCATCGACGAGTGACCCGATGATACGGTGGGCACTTGAAGCTGAGCAAGAAACCCGCAACTGTAGACACCCGAACCTCCGGGTGTGCTTCGCACAGAGAGTATTGATCCACGTGTGATAGGCTGGCCGGGCATACGCCTTGATAGGATGACAAGGTGCCGAGAGATCCGAGGCCTCGAGGAGCAGCTTTGGAATGGGGCGTTTGGTGTGCCCGTTGTCAGATGAGATTCTGTTGATCGTAGGGCGCCTACCAACCAGGTACGATAGGTACGCACGCAGGCCAGGCGGCTGGGCTCGTGCTCTTGGCTCGTGCTCTTGGCTCGTGCCATCTCTACAGAGTATGAGGTCTGGGGGATGGATGGCGAACTCGATGCCTAGAAAGGGCATTTATTATGCATGGCAACAAACATGTCACGGCGGGAGGGAGAGGCCTCGGGGCAAGCTGCAGCGATGTTCCATTGGCGTTCCAGGGAGGTGGGCCAGCTCCAGCGTGCTAGTCGACGGGCTGTACAGGGGACCGAGGCTTGATTCCAGGGCTTTTCCTGGGCGGCTGGGCGGCTGGCGGTCGCGCCTGCTCATTGCCTGCCATCCTGCCTGCCTTGTGGAGGGCCGGCCCCCAGGGCTCCCTCCAAGGCAGGTGATGAGTGACGTGTGGAAGGAGGCCCCGGGAGGGAGGGAGGGGCAGCTGGTCGCATTGCATCATGGCGCCGCACCATGACCCTCTGGCCTGCGTTAGCCCAGTGCAGAACGACCGGAACCCTCCTTCTGATTTCGCGAAACTGAATCAGTCAACAGTCTCTGCTCTGCTCTGCTCTGCTCTGGCACTTTGTCCGTTATGGCAACCACGCACGCGCTACCACCAACTGACATATCCTGACCGTCTCAGCATTTCTGCCCTCTGGCATTCCTGTGTTCGATCATTTTGTCCAGCTTGTGCTGACAGTCTAGCCCCCCTCCGAGAACCCCGACGGACGACGATTCTCTTGACCGACATGGTGCGATCCGCGAATACCGACACATCCTCCTCCAACGACCACATCCTCGACCACCACCTCAGCCTGGCCTAACGAGCCTGAGCAACCGACCCACCACTCTCACCGTCCTCCACTGTTTGACCATCACCACCTCCCGCTCCTCTGCGCCAAGTTTGCCATGCTGCTCCTCCATCAGGTCGGCAGCGTCAAGCTCGGCGAGGTTGTCCGCTACACTGTCACATACACCCCTTCTCAGGATCGCATTCTTCCCTCGCCGGAGAAGCTCCACGTCCGCATTCGCAACACGTCTGCCATCGCGCTTCGTGCCGCTTTCGTCCACGGGCCCTACAACCTTTGCGTCGCCGCCTACCCTGCTGCCTTTAACCCCAACGTCAAGTTCCAGAACCCCCGCCGCTATGGCGTGCCCGAGTTTGAACCCATGGTCAAGGCCGGCGGCTCCTGGCAGTGCGAGTTGGTCGTCCCCGAACATATCCGCCAGAGCGCTGGCACCGGCTCGCACGGCCACTTTGGTGCCGGCCCCGATCACGAGGCCGAGAGCGCGTCTTGGATCATCGAGGTCTCCTCCCAGGTCATCTTTTCCACCTCCGCCTCCGTAGGCTACGAGGTTGTCCTCGCCCGCGACGAGAAGTCCCTGAACCTGAACTCCCTGCCTGTCATCGGCGGCCAGGCCAAGGCACCCCAGCCCGGTAAAGTCAGCGACCTCGTGCATCACGATCACACCAAGGACGGCCACCGCAGCGGGCCCCCCAAGGGCGTCTTCTCCAGGGCTATCACGCTCAAGGTCGAAGACACGGCTACACTCTGGAACACCCCGAGGCTACCGGGCTGGGATAATGGCTCCAAAATCCTCGAGCGCGGCAAGATGCGGCCCCCAAAGGAAGAGGCTGCCGCAGCGGCCGCCGCCACCAGTAGCAGCAGCAGCACCACCACCAATCACAAGAACACTGCGTCGCGAGTCGCTACCCCCGGACCCCCGCACAGCCCATCCTCGAGCGCGAAGCTTCATGGGAAGCCTAAGAAGGTGCACCTTGTGGTGCTCACCCACGGACTGCATAGCAACCTCGGCGCCGACCTGCTGTATCTGAAAGAGAGCATTGACGCCACGGTACGACAGGCCAAAGTCGACGCCAAGGCGAGGCGTGCGAAGGACAGAGAAGCTCGCAGGGCCAAGGCGGCCGCAGCCAAGAGCGGTTCCGCCGAACACGAGGGCCAGAGTTCTGATGTGCCGGAGACATCCGCCGGTTCAGAAGACGACGACGAGGCTTCGGAAGACGAGGAAGACGAAGAGGTCATCGTCCGCGGATTCTCGGGCAATGCTACTCGTACTGAGAGGGGCATCAAGTTCTTGGGAAAGAGACTGGCTAGGTACATTCTCTCGACCTGCTATCCTGATCAGCCCTTCTTGCCATCTTTCAAGGGGGCCGCCGAAGTAGCTGCCAACAGCATCAAGCCAGATCATGAGGGAAAGACGGCACATAAGCACAGCTCAATCCACAAGGAAGAGATCCCACTTGCAGCACGGCCTTTTAAGATCACCAGCATCAGCTTCATCGGGCACTCCCTCGGCGGCCTCATCCAGACATATGCCGTAGCATACGTTCAGAAGCACTCGCCCCGATTTTTCGACCTCATCAAGCCCATCAACTTTGTCACGCTCGCCACGCCCTTCCTGGGTCTCAGCAACGAAAACCCTCTCTACGTCAAGTTCGCCCTCGACTTTGGCCTCGTCGGCAGAACGGGACAAGACCTGGGCCTCACTTGGCGGGCGCCGACCATCGCAAGGAGCGGATGGGGTGCCATTGTCAGCAATCTCGGCGAGAGCGCGCACAAGAAGGTCATAGGAGAGAGCCGTCCCGAGTCGAAGCCATTGCTGCGCATCCTGCCTACAGGCCCCGCCCACACGGCGCTGAAGAAGTTCCGCAACCGGACTGTTTATTCCAATGTGGTCAACGATGGCATCGTACCTCTGAGAACAAGCTGCCTGTTGTTCCTCGACTGGCAAGGTCTAGGCCGTGTTGAGAAGGCGCGGCGCGACGCAGGTCTGGTTGAGACGTTGGTAGGCGCCGGCTGGGCTGAGCTTACGGGTGCCAACGTGGGCAGCGCGCGCCGCGAGGCGCGGCAGCTGCCTCCTGAAGACAATGATGAGGGATCCGGGACGGCCACCCCCACAGCACCACAGAATGCGGCTGAGGTTCCCCAGCCTGGTCAGAATGCCATCGTCGAAGATGACAATGCTAGCTTGCGATCAGTACCGACGCCTTACCAGGACGATGCCGAGACCACGGCACCCAAATCTTCCGAGCCGTCTAATAATGGCAGTGGTCCCTTTGCTGGCTTCTTCAACTTCTTCAAGAGTCATGACCCACCGGCACCGACATCGCCAACGCTCTCTCCAAAACAGAACAAGATTTACAGGCGGAGCCAGACAATCAAGTTTGATGATTCCTCCACAACGTCTCAGTCTTCTGGGGCGTCCAAGGTGACGTCCGGGCAGGAGTTTGAGAACGACACAGATGGGATGAACGCCCCGCCCCGGACCACTTTCTTCGAGTCGGCTCACGACCTTATCAACCCCACGCTGCCATCCACGGAATTTGTGGTCGACCCCTCCAAACGACCTCGCGCCATCTTTCACGACCGTGTTTACCACCCTTCCGATATCCCGCCACCCCCTCTGAAGAAGAAAAGTTCGTCGGGTTCTCTCGTCATCCGTAGGCGCAACACGGGCCACTCGACCGCAAGCACCGACACCAAAGATCACGCCCCTTCGGTCGCCTCTTCGCTAGGATCGTCCCCGCGCACTCCCAGCCAGGGCGTCGGCCGCGAAGATTCGCTTCAGTCTACCAAGGACTATGATGACACGACCAACACGAACCCCAATAAGGATGAAGACCAAGAGATCGACGGATCACAGATGCGTGTTGAAGAGAAGATCGCCCGGGCCTACCACCGCGGCATGGCCTGGCGCAAGGTCCTCGTCAAGCTCGAGCCCGATGCTCATAACAACATTATTGTGCGGCGCATGTTCGCCAATGCATTTGGGTGGCCCGTTGTCAAGCACCTAGTCGACGCGCACTTTAGCGACTCGGCCACGGTGCGCATGCGTGTTGATGAGGAGGGCGGCGAGGAGCGTGCCTTTGACATGGGACAACCCCCAGACCAATACGGCGGCGAGGTCAAGCGGAGTAATGGAAACGACGGCGCTGGCGGCACAAGCACTCACGAAAAGCCACCGCATGAAGAGACGAGCGCTCAGCGAACAGCGCGGAAAGAGCAAGAAGGGCGAGAGGGGGAGAATCTGGCACGCGAGGCCGAGGACAAGGTCACTGCATTGCCTCGCAAGCCGGAGGCTTCATCGCCTGTCGCAGCCACTGCGGAGGAAGCGTATGCTCCGAAGCAGCGAGTGTCCCGAGCCGACTCGATGACGTGGAGCGACGGCGACTGGGCCGACACAGATGGTGAGAGCGATGTGGGAACCGAGGCCGGCGGCCGCAGCCCGCGGCCCATGACGCCCGACGGAAAGGGGAAGGATGTGCACGGCAGCTGGAACTGGACGGAGAAGATTGTTGGCAAGGGACCTGCTACCCGCTCGGCCTCAGGGCAGCAGCAGCACCTTCAGCCATCTGCGCAGCCGCCACCGCTGCATATTCCAGCAAGGGGGAAGCCGGTGGAGGAGGTGACGCCGCAGGAGGTGAAGCCAGAGGAGGTGAAGTCAGAAGAGGGAAGGTCGCAAGAGTGATTACTTCTTTGGAGTTCGCGCTCCCGCTTCTTTAAGCGATAGCATGGCGTGGGGAGGGCACATTCATATACGGACATTAGAGGGCTTCACAGTCTTTACGGTACATAGTGAGGCTACGAGGCATGAGTTTGATGATAATCACACGATTCGACCTGCACAGTTTCTGCACTTAGCGTGAGGATGAGATCGATTGCCGTGTTTCGTAGCGAAGGCAACCAGCGTCCCAGGTGAACATGTTGAACCAGAATGAAGAGTCACGGACATGCAAGAGCAGTGTGGCAGACACACGGCGGCGGCAACATGTCTGTCTACTGCTCACCAACGCGAAAACATGTGTTGCGAGTAGAGCACCCGGGCAATCAGGGAAGGCAAGGGGGCAAAGAGACACACCAACGGGCTCCGACCAACCATCACGACCGTTCATCTAGGGGGTCACTCATCATGAACTGAGTCTCATTCCAAAACTATCAAGTCCCAAATGCCGAAGAGAGTCGTCGTCCATCATCGTGTCGTGACGGCACACATTCGTCACGGCCGCGCCCGTCGCGCGGGATCCGTTTTGTGGTACTCATACAACCAACCCCACGCCTTTGTTGCTTTTCCTCGTGCGCTCTCTCTCGATGCATGCATATTCTTCGTCTTCGTCCCTGTTTCTAGCTCTTCCTTGTCGCTTGTCGCTTGTCGTGGTCGTTGTTCGCCTTCGTCGTCGTCGTCGCCGCCGAAACCGCTCACTGCCACTGCCACCACTGCCACCACGCCAACCACTGCCGCAGCCTCGTTGGCTTCTCCCGATTTACGTCGCCTTCTTGGCAAACTCGACCCTCAGGATCAAGTGCTTGAAACCGAAGCCGTCCATCTTGGCACACGCCTTGACGGCGTCGGACCTGTCGACGAAGCTGATAAAGGCGAAACCCTTGGCCATACCCGTCTCTCGGTCCTTGGCCAGGAAGACGCGCGTGACGCGGCCGAAGCGCTCGAACATGTCGCGCAGCTCCTGCTCCTCGGCCATTTCGGAAACCTGGATCATGGGAAATCTCGTCAGCGGTTGTACCCTTTAAGAAAAAAGAAAAAGAAAAATGAGAAAACATGGACGGGGCCGCAGCAACGAGAGCTCGCCCTCCCTTCCGTGCCATGGTGAAGAAGATGGTCATCATGGTACTCACGTTCGTGACGCGCAGCGTGGCCAGGTCGTCGCGCTCGCCAAACTTGCCGCCCATCCTCTCGCCAGCGCCGGCAGCACCGCCGGGCCCGCCACGCAGCGCGGGCGGGACGTAGCTCCCCTTCTTGACACCGCCCGCTCCACCGGCAGCGGCACCGCCGACATCATCAGGCAGGCCGGCGGCGACGTCGGCAGCGGCCGAGTCGCCGACGGGGGCCATGGTGTCCTTGTACGGACAGCGGGCGGTGAAATGCTCTCCGTTACAGATACGACACTTGACCTGCTTGTCCTTGAGCTTGTCCTTCATGGCCTGGGCGTTGGGGTCCTTGGCCTCCTCCTTGGCGTCCTTGCGCCAGTTGGTGCTGGGGCGGAAGATGATGTTCTCGCCCACCGTCGTCGTGTCAAAGGCCGGGCCGGCGGGGTCCTTGGCGCTGAGGCCAAACTTGGACCAGCCCTTGCGCTCGGCGACGCGGGGGTTGACCTTTTCCGTGTGCGTCGTGTAGCGGATGCGGCGCGTCGTCTTGACCTTTTGGTTCTGCTCGTTCAGGCGGAACGTGATGATCGTCTTGGTGCCGTCCTTGTTGGTGATGGTCTGCGTGGGCGGGAGCTCGGTCGAGACCTCGTCGACGTCCTCATCGTCGGCCCAGTCGTGCCTGTAGGAGAGGGGTTCCATAAGTTAGTCAAATGTTCTCTTTTCTCCTTTTATTCTCTCCTTCACTTCCTTCCCTTCCTTTGATACATCTTCTCCCTCCCGCCAGAAATCGTGACGACGAGGCGGGGGAGGAGAGATGGGTAGCGCGGGGGGGAAGAGGGGAGGGCGGCTCACTTCTTCGCTGGGGTCGCCATGCTGGGTGGTCTTGTCTTCTCGCTGATGCGGTAGATGTCTTTTGTCGGCGGGATTCGGTATGCCTGGCGCGTAAAGGGCTTTCTCGAGGGAAACGCGCGATCGTCGAAAAGGGTCGTCGTTCCTAGGCGGGCAGGCAGGCTCGTTGAAGATGGGAAGTCTCGGTGGGGTCTTGCCAACGTCGAATTTTGACCTCGATTCAATTTCGTGGTGCGCCCCCGGAAGCTGGGTGGGGCATTTCACACTAGTCCCTTACAGGCTAGCATCGAACTGGCTGACCCAAGCACCAGCCTCACTCACTTTGACCACCTTCTGCCAGTGCCAGCCATGTACATGTACGTCCTCCACTCCATGTCTGGCACTCCATGTCTGGCATCGCACGCTTCAACCAAGGCGAAATACTAGCAGCAGCAGGCACGCTTAACCGCGTTCATCCGTTGTATTGGGCCAGGGTATCTGGCTTCCTCAAGCCGCGCCAATCAACCAAAGGGATATACAAGAAGCAGTTCGTACAGCCATCATCGTCTCTATATCTCGGCCCCTCCTTCATCTGGCCCCAATCGTACAATCGCCGCATCAGAAGCCCGCTCGTCTCATTCCTCGCTCTCTCCATCCACAATGCTGTGTTGGCCGCCCAATGCTGTTCTAGGTTTCGATCCCAAAGCCAAGACCCTTCCGTTTCGTTTTGTTTTCGAACGCCGTCGCGGGAGCTTGCCGTCTCCCGAGTGACTCAAATGAAATTGTAGGTGCCGCAAGGCAGGTAGGTAGTTGACAGCAAAAAAAAAAAAAAAAAGTAGATGTGTGTGCATGAATATACACCTCTGCACATGTATGTGTCTGTGTGTGTGTGTATTTATTTGCGTGTGGTGGCTGTGCTCCTCACGAAGCAACACGCACCTTCTGAGGGATAGGTGGCAGCGCACAGGTTGGCGGCGGCGCTGGGATCGGAGGCAGAGCTCGCGTTGGAGGAGGCGCAGGCGGAGGGCCTTCAGCAAGCTGCGGCAGGCTTCGTCGGCCTGGCAGAGCTTGCGAATAGCTTCCAGTGTCGGATCCCGCGCGCCTCCTGCCAGGGACTGGGGCAGGCTGCGTCGGCATTGGTCGGGAGGACCAAAGCGCGACACGCGATGGTGCACCAGGGGCAAACGAATCAACCTTGATCTTCAGGTCTGACATGTGGCCGATGGAGTAGCGTGCTGGGCGTTCGTAGGAGGATCGATCAGGGGCCTCCAGGTAAACGCTTGCCGTCCTCCTGCTCCGCTGCTGCGGGGTGGACAGCAGATGACCATGATCCTTCCCCGACACTTCGGACAATGCCTCCGAAGATTTAGCAACCTCGGTGATCCGCGGGACTGGAGGTGGCGGCGATGACTTGGTCATGTGCGCAACGCTTGAGGCTGCTGAGTTCCCGGGGCTGCGGAGCGAGTGCATACTCGCATATTTTCTGGGGCTGACACGAGCAGGTGCTGTTGATTCTGCGTTTTCCGAATTGAAGCTGGCTCTGCGGGTTTGGAACGTCGGCGATTTCAACCGTCCATTGCTGGAGCCGGTTGACTTTATCGACGCGTAACTTGGAGACTGTGGGCCTTCCTTAGTGCTTCTCTCCCTAAAAACCCCAGTCGCCTCGACATCGTCCTGCACTGGTGATGGGTGGTCAGTGACTATCGACAGCGGCCTTGCCATGGACAGTGCCGTCGGTGGAGCTCTTCGTTGTGGCCGCATGAAAGTCTCGCGAGGTCTTGTTGTCTCGCCAGCATGCGCAATCGAGTCGACTGAAGCCGACTTGACGAGCGAATAGCGTTTACAGATTGGGACACTAAAGTTCGGCGTAGGTGCTGGCTTAGGCGCTTCGGGAGCTACCCCTGAGTATTGTGCATCACCACTTGGATGGACAACGCCAAAGTTCATGGTCTGCATCGACTGCCTCCGATCCATGATCGCCGCGGCATTCGGCCGGGGTCTTAGCTGCAGAGGCATATCCTGCCAGGATGGCTCTTCCGGTGAGTTGAAGGCGTCCCGTATCGGAGAGCAGGCTGGCGAAGAGTTGGTAGAGGTGACGATGGTTCGCTGGCCGGAGGAGATGTACGATAGGCGGTTGGCGCTGTCCCGCAGGCTATCGAGTTGACGCCCTTCATTGGACGTCACACTGTTGGTTGTCGATACGTCGTCGATCGAGGGATCCATGATGGCGTCGGACTCTGCGATAATCGTGGAGCTGTCCACGTCACTGCGACTCTTGTTCGCATGCCACGAGAATTCTGGTGGCGCAACGCGCGAGAAGCGTGATGGGTCTCTGACGACAAGCGTCCGTTGGCTTGACTGCGATTTGAGCTGTACAAAGCTCCCGTCCATCCTCAGACGGCCAGTCTCTGTGGTATTTTTCTTTCCGCCGAGGGCCTCAATTTCCCTCCGCAGAATCGTAATCCAGGACTCCATGTCTTCGGCACCCTCAAAAACCATGAGGTAATTGGATGCGCTACGCTTCTCGGTCACCCGGAAAGGCAGCCTTGAAAAGAGAGACCGAGAATCGGTCGACGTCATGCCATCGGCATCCATTGCAGAGGACACCTGAAGCACCCAGTGGCGGCCGGGCAAGGCGTCACTGACAAAAGCCGCCGAGTCTTTGCTGAGTTGAAGCATCTTTTCTGGCAGGCGATCGAAGTGGCCTTCTCCGGAGTACTGGAGAAGGTAACCCGACGTGCACAAGACGTAGATTTTGGTGGTCCATTCCTGCTTGCTTGCAGATCCAGAGGGTTCTCGTCGATGCTTCTTTGCCTTTTCACCGGTTGGGTCGTCGTCGGGTGACAACTGCGTCAGATCTTCCCGAATAGTGAGGCTGCCTTTCCGCTCATTGTGTCGGAGAATGGTGTCTGCCGAAAGGATAGGGGCAGGTAGATGAGCATATTTGATCGCCTGCGGGTACGCCTGGAAGAGAGGTGGAGGGTCCCAAGTCGCAAGATGGCCTCGAGGCGATTTGTAGGGCGCTGGTTGCGTCTTTGG